AAATGTTCATATTCAAAAAAAGAGGGGCCTTTTTTCACCATTTTTTGCATATGTTGCTGATGTAAACATACTTTTAACGGCATTTTATACATAATATACTATTACTAAATACAACACTACTGAACATTTAGACCACAGATTGTGCCTTTATTATGTTATTCAGAATATTTGTATTCAACACACAGTCTGACTTGAGTCATGAGAAATCAGTACGTCTCCAGCCTAGAGACGTGGAGGCAGCTTAACAGTGGCCCAAGATGTTTACGGTAGTCACAGTGACTAATGGTCCAGGAAGCTTTTTTGTTGGGATAGTTTTTGTAAAGTAACCCTTCTTATTTGCCATGGGGTGCTGCTTATACTTGCAAAAGTTCTCTGTCTTCATTTCTTGAGATTTCACAAGGTCACTCAGCACCTTAGGTTCTTTGTTGGCATTAAACCGAGTCAAAATTAATGATCATGTAAGTTGGCGCACTGAGGTAAATCTCTTCACAGTGAGAGGAGAGATGAAAATGAAAATTTTCTTCCCATAACCTGCCAAATGGATGTTGGCTTTATAGAAAGAAAGCCTTCTTTGGCCATTTGTTCAATTTCCTCTGAAAAGTTGTTTCATTTGTGAATCTCTGTTGAGTGAATGGTGTCATCTCAGTCTTTACCTCTGACTCTGGCTAATGGACCAAACACAGTTTGAGAGCAGTTCATTAGGACAGTTCCCTCATGCTTGGATGCACAGAAGAAGTACTTCATACTGTTTTCATAATAAACTCAATGCAGCATCTCATGACCACTAATACCAGGTTTATGTTAATTTTGCATTTGTCAGATCGTTGATTTCTTACATCTTTTATTTTTCTCATTGTGAACAGGAAACCGTTAACAATTAGTGACTCTGTAGGGATTTAATGTCACATGCTAATTACGTGTCAGTGTTAAACATATTTAGCATGAGTGCAGGTAGCATATGAAAGGTTAAGTCATTATCATTGATAGCAGTTATATTTTCATCTGAAAGCACATAATGAAAACTATTAACTATTATTTTATATTGTCTATGTAACAGATTGACTGCACTCCACTCAAAGCACTTTTACTGCCTCAGTGTAACAGCAGAGAAACTGCTGTTCAGGTTTAAACATATATATTCAGCAGCTGCAGGATGTTAATCAAATTGAGTATGACCTCTTCACTGTAAATTAGGCTATATGGAAAGGTCTGCTTCATTCCTCACATCTCCGCCCTTGTATGACTGAAATATCTATCCCTGGCGTTCAGCTTGTCCAATATGGCATTCTTTTGTTCATACTTGGCAAAGCAGCAAACACATGGAGTTAGTTTACTTCTGTCTGGCTGTGGTTATTTGTTATCTTGACTGTCATTGTAAAACTCGAATTATAATTGTTTATGCAGTCATATCTGAGGATATCAAGTACAAAATGAACACCGTAGGTCCTTCATAATGACTCATAAAATGAGATCTTTATATACAGCATGAAGCTATTTTCAAAGGCTTAAATCATTAAGATACATTTTTATCTCTTTTTGTGATCAGATATTTAATCTTTCATTTGTTGGAGGAAAAGCTTTCTGATCTAAACCTCATTTACATTTATTGCCAGATTAATATGGGCAGAAGCATTTGAATTGTATGTGAGTATCTGTATCCATTATTTCAGCATGCTAGATGTACAAGTGTCGGATGTGCTTTGTGTATTTACCCCCAGAAGTCATTTAAATAGTCAGTGCCTCCAAAGGAAACAACAGTAGGAAAGTATGTTAATGCTATTCCATCAAATCATGATTGCCTTTGTGAGCAGCTAATGATCATAGATGAAGCATCTGATCAACTAATAAACATGAAATAGGCAGTCAGGGGTGATACTGGCTGTCACCCCAACCAGGTGAAAATATAAAACCTTGTTGAGGTTGCCAGAAATAATAGAAGTTTGCAGCACATCTAAAATTGTGTTTGCACTCATGTTCTCACCTAGGAAAAGTGGGTATATAAAACCCTAAATGTCATGAATGTGTGTGTTTTTTTTTCTTTTACACCTTTTGTTTTCAGCCTAGCTGTTGCTTTTACCTGAAGAATCCCCACAGAGTTTTCTCCATCTGAAAAAGAAACATGACTTTTCTCCCGACAGTCTTTCAGAAGCCCTCTTTTTCTTTTTTTGAATAAAGTGTTTATGCTGCAGGGGCACAGTCAATGAAAGGTCAAGCCTCATGTGGAGTGATTAAGAATACACCAATTCAGACGTTGCTGTAATGTCACACTAATGTAACCAAAGCTGACCTACTAGTGTGACTTTCATAATGCAACCCAGTGATTAAAAGTTGGTGAAAATGCAGCAGAATGAACAAGAACACACTGTAAGAAATGAAACTGGTTAGTGATTGTTTTGGTGGCGTTTTTGATAAAAATATTTTCATAGAAAGTATATCTTATACCTACAGTTGGTTTTTACCTGAGCAACTTGTGTTCAAATACACAATATTTAAAGTAAGCTTATTCGTGTAGAGGTACATTTGGAGATGTTATTGCAAATGATTAGTCAAAGGCTTGACTGAATTTATTTCTTGTTTTCCTACTTGGAAAGATGGGAGAGAGGTCTGGATCTGTATTGCAAGTACCCGTGCAGATGGATGTCTTGGCCAGCTGATACTTTTTTTATTTACATTGTTGTTATTGAGTTATCTTTTATCTGAGATTGTCAATGTTTTTTTCTGCATGTTTGTGTGCATGCCTGGGACGTCGCCCATACAAATGACTTCCAGCCACTGCTGCAAAGCAGTTTTTTTTGTTTGTTTGTTTGTTTGTTTGCTTTTGATCTTGTTCCAAATCTTAAATTATTTGTCACCGTTAGAGCTGGGTACTAACGGCTTTTCTGGATTAACTCCATAACCTCTGCATGTTTGTCACATTGAAGTAACTCATCACAGTGATTTGTCACCTTACTAGCATCGTTGTGGTTTCAAATTAACTTGATCACGCACTATGATATAAGATCTTAACAAATTTATGAGGATAAAAGTAACATGATCTTAACCAGAATAGAGATGTTGTAGGAAAATTGGAATTAGTCTTTGTTTTTGTTTTTTTAAGAAAAACACATTTTCCAACTTGTAATAAGTTTATTTTCAACACAACAGCCCAGTTTTAAACTTCAGAATGTCATTGCTATTATCAGTGAGATGCAGGGATTTTACCAGTACAAACGAATGAAAGCATGAGCTCTATATAATCCTGAAAAGTACCAAGTATAAAGCACCTATACATCTTGGTGATTAAATTAAGGAGCTATAAAACAGTGAAAAATATGTTTATTGAGAGCTTCAGTTGTTCTCTCTTTGCCTCGAGTGTAGAATAATTACACTTTCAGCATGTTCTGCTGTATACAGGCCAAGGATTTGGTACTTTGGCGCAGCCTCTGCAGTGTGCAAAAGATCAATGGATATATTTTGTCCTATCTTTTCATTTGCATACAATTTTACGAAGAAATAATGTACAAATTATTTTAAACTTTGTAATCAGATGCTCAACCTTATTAAAAATGTAACTGACTTGCTCATTAAGTTATGTACGGTTTCTAATGTTTAATTTAATGTGCTGAGGAGTGTTGCATTCCATTTAATGTTTTTTTTTTTTATTCTTTGACTTTCAAACAGCGTTTTTATTTGCAGAGATGCTCTTGGGAGAGATATATTGCACCCTACATAGAGAAGCTTTTATATCCTCTCCACTGTAAAAGTAATAGAAATCAAGCGTTAATCCTCTGAATGTGATAAAATGTCCTTTCAAGCTGATAATGGTTTCTGCAGTACTGAAGGGGTTGAATTGAATTGAGGGAAGTTAGAGGTTTGGAGAAGGTGCTGCAAACAAAAGGTGCTGCATACAGCAGGAGAGAGTATTGTTCTACAATGTCTGGGCCATACACTGTCTGCACAGTGGACTGTTAATGCATCTTATTTAAAACTGTCACCATTTTGTCTACAATGCAGATATTTGTTGTTTTTTTTTACACTTTCTTATTTGATGTTTTATGAATTTTTACAGTCAGTGGATAACTTAGCAGTGATGTAACCATTTATTTGCATATTATGCTTTGATTGACAGACTTCCTTATTATAAAATAGCTCATCTCTACTTCTAGCTACTTCATGCAGTAATAAAAGTTGCCTTGTGGTTATTTGGAATAGTGGTGTTTGTACACAATTTTAGACCCAGCTTTCACAGGAGCGGAGCGTGTAAGTAGATGATATGGTCCAGCATTAATATGTCCCATTTATTCATTACTTGCATGATTGCTATCGATCTGCCAGGGACTGTTTCAGCAGGTTTGCAGCTGTAAAGTGCAGTTGAGCCATTGTGCTACATCATGCCATCCAGACATGCTTTATTCATTATATGAGGTGCCTTGTTTCATGGAATCTCATTGCCTTTGTATACAGATACAGATTATTGTGATTTATGGGAAGGGATTTAGGTTGAAATCTTTCTTTTATGTTTCAGTTGTTTTTCAAATGAAGGGATAAAGAGTTTGCTGGATGGAGGAGTGTAGTAGAATATATCAAAAGGAAGATAAACACAGGCAGCTGAGGAGTGTTTGGTCAGCAGAATGTTAGAGCAGGTAGGCTTTGGATGTGACTGAGCTCCACAAGGTTTATTTCTGATTATGCTTTCCCACCAGAGTACAGGTAAATGTTTTCTTTGTTGAGCAGGTAAAATGTTTCTCTTATGTGAAAACAACTGTAGGATGATGCTCTTTCCACTACACAGTTTCACAATTAACACTGATAGTTAGAAGTAATTTAATTCATATAGTATTTTATCCTGCACTACAGTACCTCTGCCACCTGCTCACCTGACATCTCTGGCTTTTTATAGACATATATATATAACAGGGTCTAAGAATCCCCTGAAATTATCAATGTATAAAATATAAATTAACATAATGTACATTTTTACTTTTTTTAATCTTCTCATCCCTCATCTGTGCATCTTCAAGGAGACAGTAGGGGAGAATGCCGGAGTCCATGGCCCAGCAGAGGACAGGAAGGAGAAGGTGCCCAGCCCCCATCTCAGTCATCTGGTGGTCCTTACTAACAGTGGGACCCTGTATGGGCTAGCCCAAAGGGTGGTGGCCACTGAGTCTCTGTAAGTCCCCTCTACACACTCAAGTAAAAGCAAGAACAACTGACAAAGTACTCAGCACAACTCTGCATCATAAACCATGCAATAATTTATAGTGAATAATTATAAAATAAGCAATAGAGTTGCACCTTAAGACAACACAAAGCTGTATTAGTCTCTGTTCCTCTGGTATGAAGGAAAAGATTATGAAACTAGTGCTTGTTTCCTTGTCATTTGTGTGTCCAGCTGGTGTGATTTAAGTTGGCAGTTAAATTAATTGAAACATTTTCCCTCATCACATTAAAGAGGAAGGTTTTTGCCCACTGCCTCGACTCAAGGTGGTCATATTTTCATTAGACAGTGTTACAGCCCGGCCATATGAAATATAGTTTTCAAAATTCACATCAATAATTCCAGCTGAATTGAAAGAAGTAGAGAGAATTCCTACATTTTTCCCTATAATTTACTATTTGTATTCAACTCGGTCTCTCTTGCTGATTTATTTTCTCTTTCTTGCTCCTTATTCTTGCTTCTCTAATTATTCTTCCCGCTGTTTCTCATTACTTTCTACATCCACAAACTACACAAAAGTGCCCTCCTACATAATTAGGTCAAACTATCGTCATTGCTGACAATGCTTAGATCTTGAGAGGTCTGCAGTGTACAATAGCTTTATAATGAAAGTCTGCAAAACACAGGCCCAGATGACACTCCTGCAAAAAATGCTGAATAGGCTTGCACTCACAAAATATTTCATGTATTCTGCCAGTATAATGCACCCACTCAGAAGAATAATCAAAGGAAAATGCAAAGGTGAAAATAGTTATTGGGTAAAGTTTGAAAGAAAATGACTCTGGTGAGAAAAGGGACCGAGATCTTTTCTGAGCAGAACTGCATGAAAAGTTTCTCTGTTAGAAAAGGTGTTTATCAAAAGCCGGCTACCTTCAGTGTGTACTGTGAGCACCTATGGCATCCACATTAGATACCATTTCAAATGTCATCTCTGGGGGAAAAGAAAAACAACTCAGTTGTTCACCAATAAAGTGGCCAAATCAATGAAGTGTGAGAAACCCTGAGTGCAAGTTGAAGATCGGAGCTTCGTAAAGGGGCCATCTCACTGCGGTTTTCCCTTGCTTGTTGTTCAGGTGTCATATTTTCTACAAGTGTGATCAGATAAGTGTGAACTACAGGATGTTTTATCCCCATCCACACCACACTGTTGTCAAAGTAAACACCAAATGCTCCATGAAAAGAACAGGTGTGCAGTGGCCTCATTTATAGGGTGCTGGCTGTGTTTAATGAAGTCCTTTCAGATTTAGTGTTAACCAGAAAGCATTTAAGGCAAGAATATTAATTCCTACTTTTAATATAAGGATTTCTGCTAGAGTTCCCAGTACTAACTGTTGTGCAGCATCCTTACAAAGGGTATGTTAATGGAGCATCAATGTAGCCAGCCACTGTTACCTGTGTATACTATGTAATAATAATAAGTAATGAGAAATGGCAGTAGAGGAATAGCTAAGACATGTTTGTTGGTAATTTAGTGTCCCCATTTTACTGGTAGTTACTGTGTATGGTAGTTTTTGGCCTGACTGTCATAAGTGTATGGCTCTAAGGATGAATTTGCTTGTTTGGTGTCTGAATGAGTTCACACCAAAACTGGGTTGTGGAATCTGCCGACAGCATTTTCGTCTTAGTCTTGTTTTCCTCTCTTTATTAGCGCTATCCAATCAGTTGTTTTGCTGTTGACACGGAACTGTAAAGAACCCTCTGTGAGTCGTGCTGTACCGCAGCAGTTGTTCTTGTTAAACTTTGAACTTGACCCTGTATTTCAGCCCACTCAAGTCTGCTCTCTTGGTTTTCTTTATAACCTTTTTTTACCCAAACCATTGAGCAGCCCCACTCAAGTTAGATTATTAGATCTGTCCACAATGGGTTTTTTCTGTATTTGTATTCTCAGTATTTTCAAGAGTAATTTATATTCACTCATTGTAAAACCTGCTGCTTGATTTTTTCTTTTTTTTTTTTTGGACATACTGTAGATGATAGTGTGAGAGGTGAGACTTGGAAATAGTTGGAAATCAGAAGTACTTTTCAGAACAGAGAGACCTTTGATCCAAGGGACCAGATGAGCATTTATGTTGTGACAACACAGGATAAAATTATCACAGGATAAAATAGATTGCTCCAGCAACAGAGACTGATGTTGCTATTCAAAAAGGACAGGTAATTATATTGAGAGAAAATGCTCTGCGGTTTTAAGGTATCATCAGTAAAGGTGAACATATGTAACATCTGTACACAATAGCTTACAAGTTGTGCTGATTAACATTTCTCACTTGATCAAATTGACAGGCCATATCTACACCTGGAACATCTAAGAAGCCACAGACTTTACCTTGTGCCTTCTCAGCTGTTTTCCATCAAGTCTGTCGCTGTTTGTCAAACAAGAAGGGCTGAGCTTTAATATTAGTTATAGTAGTGTTATGAGCCGAGCATTCACTGTGCTTGTGATGTTCTGAGAGAATGGTAAAGATTTAATGTAATGTTTTGTGAAGAAGCCCGGCTACAATCTCTAAATGCCAGTTGCTCTAGTTCAGGTCTTCAAATCTAAATTCAATCAAAAGTAAAGTCAGCGTTTGTTAACAGATGTGTCAATCTCAACAGCTACAAAAACAAGTCATAGTAATTGCATATTGTTATGTGCCACACCAGAATGTTTTTCAGACCTTATTATGCCACTATTGTCATGACTTAAATGGCTATTTCTGTTTGTTTGTTTTTTCACAGTGTGTTTCTGGCTGAACAGTTTGAGTCCCTTCAGTCCCACCTGGACACGATGATGCCTGCAGCTAAGAAGCCTTTTCTGCAGCAGTTTTATTCCCAGGTATTGTATACATACCAGTGTTGTAGTCGAGTTACTAAACCTTGAGTCCGAGTCGAGTCTCGAGTCCCCAGTATTGGAGTCCGAGTCACCAAAGAACAATCTGAGTACTCGCTACCCGAGAGCCGAGTCCAAGTTGAGTCTCCATTGCCCGAGTCTAAGTCATCATTGACATTTAACACAGCTGACAGAGCTGTCAACATTTTAAAAGGAGTTTACGTACTGTGTGTGACGCAATTACCAAATAAATGCACTCGTAGAAACACGCACCACTTGGAAGAGAACAGTGTGAATACCACTGTCAATATCTTATGCCAAATTATTGTGGGCTTTTACTACAGATGCACCTGCTGTATTTCAGTTTTCTTGGCCAATTCCTTTTTTCTACTGACCTGCTGATTCCAATTTTCATTCATTCTAAGAACTGTAATTAACAGCACACACAGACATAACTTTGCTTTAATGAAAAATTTTATTGTAATAATAACAAAACGTATTAAAATTTTACATTTCCACTTTCTCTCTTTTTTTCTAAGAAACTAAAAGTGCAATATTTGTACTTCTCCCAATATAAACAAATGCACCAGGTAATAGAAACAAGAATATCTGTTAGTACTGAGCACAGTTCTCTTTTAAGTGTATGAAGTTTGTATTTGCTGTGTTTTACCACTGGTTGGACACACTGTACATATACATGCATTTCATGTGTAGCCAGTAATTCCCTCACTGTGCATTATTTGTTGGTGATTTGGACATAGTTTCCCTTGTCCAAGGTGTTTCTGTACGTCCCTCTGTGTGCTGCTTGTACACTTGTACGCTTCCGATGCCTGAGTGAAAAGGCGCCTGGTCCAGACATGAGCGCCAGCCTTGCACACGCTATGTTTTGTATAGTACTGCTTAACAGTTTTCATCAATATGAAGCTTATATTATGAAAAATACAAACTTCATCCTATCAGAGTCTAACAGGTCATTTAAAAAGGAGCACACATCACGTACAATATGCAGTGGATTTCATTTGATGTGCTCTAAAAACATATTCCATTTGTATCCACTCCTTCATTTGTCACCACCATGCTTGCTTTTTTTTTTTAAAAGCACATTTCTCCTTAGAGACAAATAGACAGAACTGCAACCTGGCATTCAGTCCTGTTCTCAATCAACAAATAAAATTGCCTGTCACTCAGAATCACTCTGACGTCTCCTCTGCAGACTTTTCTTTATTTGTTCACTTGACATTTCAAATGGTGGGGTACACAGACATGGCTGTCTTCTGCAAGTGATGACGTCATGTTACTTGCGCAAGTTTTATTGACATTTACTGCTTACTTGACATTCATAAACATGTCAAATATGATGCGCTAATACATGCATTCTGCTTGTCTTACTCAGACAGTGTCTACAGCCAGTGAACTACGGAAACCAATTTACTGGATCGTGGCAGCCAAGGCCATCGACTATGAGCAGATGTTGCTCTTGATGGCTGGCGTTAAATGGGACATTAGGGAAATCATGTCCCAGCACAATGTATATGTGGATGTCCTGTTAAAGGTAACATCACCTAAGAAATGGATATGTTGATGTATCATGTGATATGTTAGTGGTTCATGAATAGACACACAAAGAGTAGTGGATCATAAAATGGACTGAATGGGATCAAAGCAGCATTAAATGATTTATTCTTTACCTTTTCATGGCACGGAGTGTAAAGTTGTTATGATGAACATTGCAAACAGTTACCCATTTACACATCCAGCAGACACAGAACAACAACAGCAATAAAACTAATTTGTAAAAGCAGTGCAAGTAAAAATCACAGCAATAAAACTGATTTGTAAAAGCAGTGCAAGTAAAAATCCAAAACAATGAACTGAAAGATACTAAAATGATTTTATAACTCTGGGGAACTACAGAGTTATAAAAGATCACAATTCGGTTTGTTCATCAATACACTCAATGTCTTTCATATTACATGTAGTGATTTGATTTATTATTATAAAAATATTGATTAGTGCAGCTTTAAAGAGTTCAAACTTTGTCACATTGCAAGTTTTCAGGGCAAATGTTAGTCACAGTACTACTTGTTTATTTGTGCTGCATTAAGTTCAAAGACAAGGATGAAGACATCATTGCAAGATTTGAGATATTAGGCAAACCTCTTACCGTTAAGATTGTTGCATCATTTATGCCACTAAGACTCAGCTGAACATAAATGATGATACCCAGACTACTGGTATGCTTATTAAAGTCCTTCTCCCTGACCCTGTTTTAATGTAATGTACATTAAGAAAAAGCTCAGAAGTTCTCAAATGCTTCTTTTTCCCCACAAACAAGTACTCATTTTTTTTGTATCCTCTGAGTGTCATGCAATAACCACGCTACACAAAAGTTTAACACACAAAATAATAAATTTGCTTTTATCTAGAGGGGATTTCCCTCAGTTTTTCATTGTATTTGTCAAGTACAATCTTCATTTACATAAAATATTAGCCTGTAATCCACTTAAGGTCAGGAACTCTTAAGTTTCTTGTTGTTTCCTGTGATTTTAAATTCATTTTGTGCCCTTTATGATTATTTGGGAAAGGGTTTATTAAAAGGTACTCTGTTGAGAGTCTAATAAAGCCCTAGAAGTTTCAGCATTGTTAAATACGTTTGAGCTCATCAAACTGGAAGTGGAAATTTGCCACTAAATGTGTGGCTTTATGGATGCTGGCTACTTTTCCTTAGAAATTTTGCATGGGGTGGGGTTTTCTGCCGTGTTCCGTTCTGAGACAGAAAGGTCTGCGGGGCTGTCTGCGGTCTGAAATCCTGAACAGACCAGCACCACAAGAAGAAAACCTTATAAATCTGGTAATGGTTCACACATTAAATCACATATGTTGTTGAGATCCCCTCGAAATTTTTAAATTACCTAAACACATCTGTACTATTAATAAATTTTCAGGCATCAGTTTACAGTTAGAGATTACTTACAGCTTATGCAAGAAATACTCACCTTTGACTTTCTGGATGACTTGTAGACCTTTGGCACTGGCAGCTTTGCAGTTAAGCCTTATTAATTTAGCTTATGAGCTGAATTGTCTGTGGGGGAAATCTCTGCCTCGCTGGTCTAGTTTAAACATCAGACAGTGTGAAAATGGTGCAGCTGATGGACGGACATGGTGCATATTACAACTTGCATACACTTTTCCCCATCAGGCGCTGATAGCCTTCTCTGCCAACTTGTCAGACACTCTTGATTCATATGGATTGTGTTGTGTGCAGTGACTGAAAAGAGTGGGCTATGTTTTGTTGTACTGCACATGGGAGAATATTTTATTCATGAAGTCAGGTTGATCACTAGCATTCAACAATGACACTGATTTGCATATAAAGTGGCAAGGAAATGCAGCAGCCTCAGAATGAGTTCATTGACAAAATGCGTAAATCAGAAACTATTGTGAGACTGTTTATGAATGAATAACATTTTGTTCTTGGGTGCAAAGGTAATGAGAGTGCACGTCTTAAAATTCAGGTTCATTGTTCCAACTTGATGCAGTTTGAATTAAAGTCGTCATATTTGTAAACACACTAGGAAACTGCATACACCTCCTGAGGCACATCCAACATATTTGTATGTACGCACTTTATATACTGTACTTTTCACCTTATAAACTGCAACATATCATAATAGTATAATGTCAGAGTGCACTGAGTTCATGTGTTTGGCATTACTGAAACATCAATACATGGCACATACTGTTTGGTTTTGGCTCATTTGTTTATTAATATCATCCTGCAGCCTGCATCTTCCTCTGGTTTGCCTTTATTTTTTTTGTTAAAATGTAAAAGAGAGAACATTCATAACAGCACTCACACTCGCTCTTTTTTCACCTCAAGTAGCCTATGTATGAAGAGTTAAATGAATAGGTAGGCTAGGGGTCAACTACCAGAGGTTGCATGTACAGCACATCAAAAAAGTTGATGAATGGCTGCAATATGGATGGTCACAAACTTCAACAGCAGTACATGAATGAATTATATTTAACACATGGTGTGTGGTGGATTCAGACTACAAACCTCTAATGCACTTGAAATAACTGGGTTGTGTAATTCACAGCATGAAGCAGATTTAGAGCACAGTTCATTTCTCCAAGTTAAGACTGGGAAGCTGGTGTTGGGCTTCTTCCAAGTACACAGAATAGCTTAAAGTGAATTTGGGAAATATGTTGCTGTTCATGAAGACATTTATTCTGTTTAGACCTTCCAGTTGGGAATCAACGATGTATTGGTCCCAGAGTGGCATGCCTTCTGTGTAGAGCAGACTGTGGCTTTAGATGTGTAAAGCTGTGCTAATAAATGTCTTATACTGTATAGCATGTGCAGTAGGAATGTGTTTGATTTCATGTGGCTCTACCTACATAAGAAATTCCACACTGATTATTCATTGTTTCCAATGAAAGAAATCCTTCCCTTGAGGTTCATTTATTTGTGTGGTTTTTTCTTAACACTCACATTAACTCTTTAATGTGCCTCACCTCTTTCTCCTTCATCTTCTTAGGAGTTTGAGCAGTTTAACAATCGGCTGGGTGATGTTTCCAGACATGTGCGCATCCCGCTGCCTGTGTCCAACGTGCTGTGGGAGCACTGCATTCGTCTGGCCAATAGAACTCTTGTAGAAGGGTAAGAAAGTCCTAAAACAACTCTTTAGCATCAAGGTAATGTGTTTTCATGAAACTCTACATGTGCATTTGTCCTTCAGCATCGGATGAAAAGACAATAATGTGCTGTCCCTGTGTGGTACAGTGAGGAACAGAAGTATTTGAACACCCTGTGATTTTGCAAGTTCTCCCACTTAGAAATCATGGAGGGGTCTGACATTCACATTGTAGGT